CATGCTCACCAAGGTTGCATTTATTTGATCAAAAATACAGAAAAAAAACAGTAATTTTGGGAAATATTATTGCAGTTTAAATTAGCTGTTTTCTATTGTTATTTATTTTAATATGTAATTTATTCCTGTGAGATCCTTCAGAAATCATTCTAATATACTGATTTGATGCTCAAGATACATTATCAATGTTGAAAACAAATCTACTGCTTAATATTTTTCTGGAAATTGTGACACATTCATTAATTTAATCATCCTTGCTGAATGAAAGTATTATTTTCTTAAAGAAAAAAAAAAATCTTACTCAACCGAAACTTAAGTAGTATATGTGGCCAATGTGCACAAATTTACTGATGCATTCTTTCACAGGGTTTATGAATAGCGCTCAGCTATATATTTGCTCAGTTTTTAAAAAAACTCATTGTGATTAAGTAGTACACAGATATATGGATGTGGTCAGCTGAATACTGCAGTCTTGAGAAACGCTGCTCTAACTGATCTCTTCATCCCCACCTCCTCATCTCTCTCAGCTTCAACCGCTTGCTCAGATGGAGTGGCTAAAGGGGGAAATAATATGAACGCAACCAACCGTATGCTACTGACTGTTCCGTGTGAGTCAGTGAAGCTGAGAAATTAGCTTTTGTAATAGTGAGGGGAACAAGTAATAAAACAGCGGCCAGTGCAGGCCGCAGAACATGAAGTTCCACAGATATGGCAACTATCGCTCTGAGTAATTTAATCAGGAACATCATGTGCTGGACCAAAAAACCCCCCAAAACTCTCATGTAACGTATAACCAAAGAAAAGAGAAGACCCTCCCCTCCCCCACATGCCTACATGTCTCAGATACTTATTACTTTTGCTGCTTAGTCGGTACCCGACCAAATAACTAATATGTGCAGGAATCCTCGAAGCTAAGTCAATAATGTGCTCAGCTAATAAAATGCAGTAACACCCCACAACTTCTATGTGATTTAATACAGAAAAGAGTGCATTATGCTGCATCTAATTTGGTTAGGATTTTTATTTATTCATTACAACACAACCAGGGACAGAGTACTGAAAAAATTATTTTCTTAATCTGCAATTGCTTTATTTTTTCAGTAAAAAAAAAAAAGAAACCTAAAAAGTAGTGCCGTCAAAGTTAGCGCGTTAACAATTAAAATTTTTTATCAATAATTTTTTTTTAGTTTAACGCATTAATGATATTTAACGCAATTAACAGAGGGGCGGAGCTAGAGTTGGCCACCCCACTCACAACTGCTGCTTCTGTCTCTTTTTTCTTGACAAGAATTGCGTTTAATTAGACGCAAAACGTCTTTACGACCACATCAAATGGGAGACTTTTCAGACGCGCACTCCAACTTCACCTCAGCGCCAGACACGATTCAAACGAGGGCGAAATAAAAGGTACAGGTGATGAGGAGCTTCAGTAGAACAACGGTGAACTGCGGTCAGATGAGATGTTTTCAGGCCGTATGTCAGCAGAAAATAATTTTCCTGTCCTGTCAGCCAGTGCTTGTAGCATGTGCTCTTCAGTTGCACACCCAAATGCGGCGGAGCACGCTGTAACCCGTCTCATTTAATATTAAAACGCAAAAGAAACTACCAAGCATGCAATGTTGTAGTTATGTCATCAGTTAAGTCATGAAGTTACCAAAAAGGCGATTAAAGCTGCCTTAAAACTGTGCATGCCAGTATTTGTTATATATGAGTCAGATTTAAGAACATGTCTCTGAAATGCAGTGGGTTTTCTTGTCATGTTCAGCAGCGAAAAAAAAAAAAAAAAAAAAAAAAAAGAGGAAATCAATCACTTTTGCAGCTTTAAGGATTCATCTATCTTTAATTTAGAATTTAGTGTTTGATAACTTTATCAATTTCTGTATATTTAATTTTCTACTTGCTGAAGGGCACATGTAGCTAAATAAGACATTTAGTATAATGGGTTTATGTGAAGATTTTAAGTTCACTTAAATTAGAAGTTTTTTTTTAAAGTCTAATAAATGTTCAAACTGATAGCTCTCAATTATACTGTAATGCTGAATAGCTATAGTCAATGGTTAAATATTAGGAGAAAATGATTAAAAATATACTGTCTTTATGTTGTTTCTACATTATTTTGAAGATTGAATGTGAAATTATTACAATATAAAAGTATATTTAAAAACTTTAATGTTAGGTGGGATTAATCGCGATTAATTTCAGAAAAATATGCTATTGATTAGTTAGTTTTTTTTAATCGATTGACAGCACTAGCAAAAAGATTTAATTAGCTTTTTCATAAATATACATACATATATTTACATATTACACAAATAAATATAGAGTATCATTTTAAAGTTTGATGTTGGTACAAAGAACCAAAGTTTCTTAAGCTTTTCATTTATTTGATCAATTTTACATTTTAAAATAACTGTTTTCTATTCGAATATATTTTAGAATGCAATTTTATTCCTGTGATGGCAAAGCTGAATTTTCAGCAGCCATTACTCCAGTCTTCAGTGTTTCGTGATCCTACAGAAATCATTGTAATATGTTGATTTGGTGCTCAAGAAACATTTAAAGTGTTGAAAACATTTGTGGTTATTAATATTTTTCTGAAAAACATGTCAGGATTTCATGGAAAGTTTTATTTATTATTTATTTAAACAATTTATTTATTTATTTAAAACAATTTTTGTAACATTCTAAATGTCTTTACTATCTTTCCTTTAAAATTATGAATTTATTTCAAGGAAAATTTTAATGACCTCAAACATTTGAATATATAGTGTCTAACAAATATATTGTTCTTTATTATAACAATTTTTTACTGAGCATAAACCTCACAAAAATGTGCCAATAGAGAAAGAAAAACAATTCAATAACCTAATTCTCGATTTACAATTATGCGATTTTAAAACTACATTTTTAGATATTTTAACTGTAAAACAAGACAAAAACTTTGATTAAGATTCAGCAAAGTCATCAGCAAAGTCATAGAATGTGAAACATTCCTATCAAATAAACACAGCCCTAACTCAAAGGAGGCCAAAGAAAGGCAGCCATTAGCGTTCCCAGGGATGCGGGGAACTAACCTCATAGGACTGCAGCTGTCCCTGCAGGTCTCCCTCTGGCTCTGAATCCAGACTGGACATGTTTGTCTCCATCTCATCCAACTGCTTACACAGTCTCTCAGTGACCTCCTCGTACCGAGACCACTCCTACAACATACATAAAGAGCGATGAGGGAGCTTTTGTTGCTCACTTCTCTTACTTCATTTTATACATGTCATATACTCCTATAAAAACTAGGTTTATTAAACTAGAACTGTTCATGAATATAGTGTTAATTGACGCAATGATGATACAAAAGACTAAATTATGACCGATAATGAGAAAGTGTTATGAAATGGGAACAATTGATAACATTACGGTCTGAATAATTTCATTTTATTGTACCTCTAAGCTGTGCTGCATTCGGACACCATGAGTTTGTGCTTGATCCTGTAGAGCTGATATTAAATGCGCCACCTCTGCTTGGGCCTGCAGTGCCCCCTCTGGCAGCTTCGGGTATTGCAGCTTCTCCATTACAAGGTTTTGCCCCAAATCTTGGTAGTATTTCTGTTACCATTCAATTCCAAACATTATTAGAGTCATTTAAGAAGTCAAAAAAAGATTATTATTTTTTTTATAAATAATAATATAATTACTAAGTTGGTCAGCTGTTTACCTTGTGTTCTGTGAGCAGACTGTGCAGCTGACTGCAGTTTTGTGGCTGTGCATCCTGACCGCGCAGCAGCCGCTCAAAGCCCAGCTCCTGGAGACCCCGCAGACCGTTCAGAAGAGCTTCAGAACATCTCTGGAGATCAACATTATTCTGTCCCACTAATCTCCGCCGCTCAAGCGCCAAAGTCCATGTGTCGCTTTGCAGACTCTTACAGAGCAAACACTTAGATCAGAACTTCAAACGTTACTGACCAATCCTACCATTGTAACTGTTGCTGTCTACCCTGTCATCAGACAAATTTGCATACCTTTCTAAAGTATGTTTGTGTGTATTTGGAAAGTTCTAAAACACAAGTTTATAGAAATAATCCAAAAACACAGTAAAACATTTTTGCAAGGTCACTTATTATAGTGACAAAAGGTACCCAGAGAAGATACAAGCAATATGTATTTATTTATTTATTTTAAATAGGTAAATGTTAAATAAATCTTAAAAACTCATGCTGTGGATTAAACTCCAAAGTAAATGGATGTTACTAATGTCATTTACATATTGAGGAGGGATGTAAAGAGGAGACAGTATTGTACCACCTAAGGAAAGTTTTTTTTTTTTCTGTTAAAGTTTTATTTTATTCTGTAGACTTTGCAAGTGAATTGGTGATACCTTAATGCTTGAAAGGTCCTTGAGGAGTTTGTTTGAGTCTCCCATCTGTGATTCACTGGCATTCAACGCAGACACCGGAATCTCTGACAGATGCTGTCTCGTCTGTGTAGGCAGGAAACAGAAGATGCAGAAAGGCAGAATCAGTCTTAGAACCTCTGTGAAATGTTTTCTGTTAGCCACTTGTCTGATTTTTTTTTAGATATGAATATAACCTTGCATTTGCCCAAACTACAGATTAACTGCTTCACACATGTTGTCCCTTCTTAGTTATTATAACTATACTACAATTCAAAAGTTTGGGGCCAGTTTTTTTTGTTGTTTTTTTAAGAAATGAATGCTTTTATTCAGAAAGCATGCATTTTGTTGCTCAAAAATGACAGTATACTGTAGATATTTATAATGTTACAAATAATTCTGTTTCAAATAAATGCTACACTGACAATAAGAAGAATTGAGCATCAAATCAGCATATTGGAATGGTTTCTTAAGGATCATGTGACACAGAAAAGTGGTGTAATAAA